TTGGACTCCAGATGTCAGCTACTTTTATTTTTCTTAGACAGAATATAGATCTTGTCAAGGTGTGGTTAATGTTAGCTAAACAAGTTTTTAATTGTTTTTAGGGTTAATAAAATAACTGGTGTGAAAGGAGACTGCTTTGGCTAATTTTAAACCTCTACACTTTTGCATGCTACCGTGTTGTTAGCTCGTTGCTCTTTTTTCATTGTGTATAAAGGAAAGATGACTGTGTTTATGGCAGTCAATGCTGGTGCTGAACCTGCTGAATATACACTGAACACAATTTTAAAAGCAATACCTTTTTTGTTTTTGCTCCTATTTTTTTTAGTTTGCTGAACCCAAAGATCGAGCACTTTTTTTATATTCACAATAGGCCTTTTTCTCTCAGTATTGTTCATTAATTAGTGTAAATCTGTGTTAGTGAGCACTTCTTCTTTGCCGAGATAATCCATTCACCTCACAGGTGTGGCGTGGTTGTTATGAATCCATCTGCAAACATGTTAGTATGCGATGTGTCATGTGACACTCACTGGATCTGACGTTGCTGTGGTGGCTGGGTCAGGGTCGTTTACGGAGAACAACTCTGGGCAGATTTTGTTGGGTTGTTGCGTTTTGCCACATAGTGTTAAATTACGTTGGCTTGTACTGATGTGCGTTCATGTTTAAACAGCAAATATAACAATATATTGATTGGGTGGGGTTTTGTGTGATGTGGCAGTTTTTAGTAGATTTTTCTATCTGGCAACACTGGTTGGCAGGACTGAGGAAGTCCTCTGGATGGAGGATGAAACATTCATCCATCCATCCATTATCTTTACCCGCTTATTCCATTTTGGGTCACGGGGGTCGCTGGTGCCCATGTCCAGCAGTCACTGTGCGAGGGGCGGGGTACACCCTGGACGGGTCGCAAGTCCATCACAGGGACACATAGAGACACACGAGACAAACAACCATTCACTCTCTCACTCACACCTAGGGACAATTTAGAGTTACCAATCAGCCT